CTTAGGATTTAATGAGATATATATACAAAACATTATGCAGAGTACCCAGCCTATCCTAGATGCTCAAGGAATGTTAGTTTCTCTAGCATCTTATTTGTCCCTTGACAAAATTCTAATAAAGAAGCTAGGACTTTAACAGAAATATTGACAGTTGAATAATCTGAAGAATCAGACAGACTGAAAAGTGGGAGAGAAAATGCCTCATCATTGTAATATGCAGGATGGTAACACTCGTGCACTGAGCCTGGGGCACTTGAGTAGAAGGCAATTTCCAGACATCAGCACTTTGGGACATTAACGTGTTATGCAATGTGCCAAAAGGAATGACTAGTGAATATCTAGAGCCTCTGAGAAAGTGTATGATCATAAATTTTGATAGGTTTCCTTACAGATGGGAAACATTTGTAAAGGATTTATATAAAGAGGTAAAGCTTTAGCTTTCTGCAAAATTCTGCTACCTGGAACATGAACAAATCATTCCCTGACAATTATGCATAGCTAGGTTTTTGAGTCTGTAGTGGAGCCATATCATATATTCATTTATCGAATTTAACTACGTGTACTTGGCCAAAAAGTAAGTTAGAAGCAGGAAAAAGAGGGGCAGTGGACAAGAGAGAATGCAGATGAATTGTCTGTCCTGCTGTTTGCCTCAGGGTGAGTGTGGATGGAGGGCATAGATCTCTTACTCAGCTTGACTCAGTGTGGTGACCTGTCCTTGTGTGCTGACTTTAGGATTTTTCAAGAATCATTTTGACTATGTGATTTTCACACTATGCTTTGATGTTAGAACCTAACCATCACATAAGATGTGATTATACTATACTTTGTTTAACAGTTTAAAGGATTTGATGGCTTGCTTCCCAATACAACTAAGTACATCAGATGTATTTCTTTCTTCATTAGTAGATACATGATAGGTTTTGATATTAGAATTTCAAAATACTGCATTGAAAGGGCCCAAATCATCTTCTGTTTCTAGGGTACAATACTGAATTTTTTTTTAAAACATGGAAATTGAAGCAGAACCACCAAGAGAAATTGTTACTAAATTTAAACACAGAAAGGTTTAAGTGATTAGCCAAAGAACCGAATCTCCTTGTAATTCAAATGACTAGTTTTAACATGAGCTACAATTTCAAATTATTGTATCCTTGGAAATAAAAGTATTCAAACTTTAAAACATAAGTAGAAACCATATGTAACTATAGATGTTATTCAATAACTTTTAAAGAGTCATAAAATGATGATTGGTATTTTATAGTCATGATGAATTAGATTACTGTTCTTAGCAATGCCAATGAAATCAGGAAACAGTCTGGTGTTTAAGATTTTGAAGCAATTGAAAGTAAAACTAATATTTTACAAACACAACCATCATGCACTTGAAAAGATATTTTTGGATTTCCAGAAAGAATTCAGAATTATGCTCCAGCTTTCACAATGTTGGGTTACTTAAATGAAAATCTACAACTGAAAAAGGAAGCAGCAGCTGCATACCAAAGGTAAAGGCACCGTTTAATTGAAATTTGACCCTTATTTGTCATTTGGCCCTTTTAAAAAAACAGAGTCTCATTTTCATGAAGAAAGTACTGATAAAATATTCTGATTCTTTTCCTGATCTTTCATTATCTGTTATTATTACATCTTTGAAGGTAAAAAGATGCAGTTCCACATTTTCAGCTGTAATTTGATTTCTTTTGCTCCTCCTGTGAGAGCAAGACAGAGTGAGAAGAAAAAACAAGAACCAAATTAAAAAAAAACCCTCGGATTTTATTTTAGAAAAATCTATCCCTTTAGACTTTGTCTAGCTTTATTAAATGTATGTATTTATTCAGAGAGAAATGAGAACGTTATATATTGGTTTGAATCACTTTAA